AAAGTGACACCAAAGAACAGCTAAAATTGCACAAAGCATTGACAGATGAGATCTGGCAACATTGGGTTGGAAAAGGACATTAATAGGGCAGGAATTTCAGAATGATTTAACTAAGAGTTAAGAGAAGACTTTGGAAAAAAAAATTAAAGGCGCCTAGAAGTATTTTTGGAAAGATAGTTGTGCCTTTTGGAAAATGCAATGCTGCATGAAGGATATGATACCATTCAATCATGCAATTTACACTCTGCTCCCAAAGCGTTTATTCTTGTCCATGGTTTTGCCCAATGGCCAAGGTAGTGCCCACATTCAAGGTGATCTATCTCTGTATTTACTTTCTCTTTCCAGCACCATGCCTTCACTCACCACTTCTACCTATTGATCCTGCTTATTCCTCTCCTATGCATACCCTGTTTATACAGGTCTGGTCTCCCAGCTCAGCATAAATGGATCTTCCCTAAACAACATTTTTGAACACCTATTTAAGTGGAAAGCATCATGCTAGACCCTCTTTGAGTTGTGAAGCATAATGAGACATGTGGGGGTGATGGAAAGAAGGTAAACAATAATAGGAAGTCCCCTTGCTGAGGGTCAATCCATGGGGCACATGGTTAAGTCCCAAAGGAATTTTTAGGACCCAGAAAGCTCTACTTTATATACTGGTTAATGATCTTTCATTATTCCTTTCTAGACTACAAATCACAAACAAGTTCCAAAAAGACTCAGCAATCTGATATCTTTCTGGGAAGGGTGGGAACAGTCTTTTAGAGCCTGGAACTGCCCAGCCCAAGCCCACACTGCCAGGCAATCTGACCAGGCTTCTTGAGCACGAATGGGGGATGGCAACAGAAGTCTCCTGCCCTCTAGCCAGGAGATACCTGATCACATCTGACCAGGATAAGTTCTCTCCCAGCACAAAAGGCTTCTTTGGCAGGTATGGGGGATGGCAACAGAGGACTCCTGCCCTCCAGCTAGGAGATCCCTGATCACATCAGGGCCGGTCCCTAAAAGCACATCTCCTGGCTAGAGGGCAGGAGACTAAGAAGAGAGCCAGGAGGTCCTGGCTGGAGGGGAGGTCACTGTAGGAGAAGAAGACCTCGGTGACCTCACTAGTATAGCAAAAGCAAACAGGCCAGAAGCCCAGGGCCAGACTCTTTTGAACAGGGGACCCAGGGGCAGACATGGTATCAGTAAAATCATAAACCACCTACCTGGTTGTCTGTACCACACTCTATTCCTCTGTTCCAGTGGGAGACTTTATCTCTTCCTTTATCTCTGAGAGCAGCAGTTCTCAGACTACAGTGAGCATCAGAAACACCAGAGGGTGCATGGGGAAGGAATGGAGACGACTTTTAATAAGAGACTGCTGGCCACACCCCCAAGTTTCTGATTCCGAGAAAGTGGGGCCTGAGAATTTATATTCCTAACCAGGCCCCACCCAGGTGCTCCTACTGCTGTTGGTCCAGAATTATCAAGGTTAGGACTGCAGCTCAGTGGTAGAGCACCTGCCTATCATTCGTGAGGCCTGTGTTTATCCCCAGCACTGCAAAAAAATAAAATAAAATAAATCACTTCTTTTAGAGGATCTGTTTTTACAATTGTAAAATGGGATAATTACCATCCCCCCTCTGTGGTGAGAATCCAATGAGACAAGGCAGCTAAAGAATTCAGCATGTGCCTGCACCCAGTAGGTGCTCAGTCAGCATTAGTCATTTCTCCTGGGAGTAGACAGGAGACATGCCAAGTAGGGAAAACATGGACAAGGAGAAGAAGGGGGAAAGGGTCCAAGCAGGTCAGCTGAGCTGGCAGAAAGAAGTAAGGCCCAGCACAGCAGTCACAGAGTCCCAGCTGCACTGTGGAAGCAGCTGGGAGCCACGTATAGTTCTGGAGCTGGCCAATGACAGAAACAGAATGTGGTGACACTGGACAAGAAGCTATTGCCAGCAGCAAGTTCCATGTGCTGGAGAGTTGGCTGTTTGACTAGATATAGGGTTGCCCATTTTAACACGTAAAAAATAGAATTTCAGATGAATAATGAATCACAATTTGTTAACATCAAGATGTCCCAGATATTGCATGGGACATACTTATACTGAAAGACATTTGTCATGTATCTGAAATTCAAATTTAACTGGTGTTCTTTATTTTCATTTGCTAAATCTGGCAATCCTAGCCCAATACTAGTTGAATATCCCCCAACCCCCTAGCCTGCATGCTAAGGAGACAGAGCCAACCCACATTCCCATTATCTATTCCCACCTTTAATGAGGCCACCAGGAGGGGCTGAGGAGCACTCCTGGCAGCCAGTCTTAATGCTCATGACACATGATCACAGCTGCAGGCCTGGGTGAGAGGGTCCACTCACCTCATGCCAGGGTCATCCAGAAAAAAACAGTAGCAGGGCACAGTAAGTAATCACTGGATCTGTGAATGAACCAAGTGGACAGGCCACCAAATTCCATAAACAAGGACCTGCCACCTCTGCTCTAGGATCAATAAGAAACCAGCAACCATTGGTGATACAGGCCAACCTAGTGCATGAACCCAGGGAAAGGGGAAAATGTTCTCCACCCTTAACCTCAGAAATGAACAAACGCAGCATCCATGATACAGGTGCAGAGATGGTGATATAAACTGCAAACTAGAGCAAGACAGTCACTCTCTCCTTCAGCTCAGCTGCGCGTTAGGACAAGTCGTACTACCAGAGGCTGCCTCTCTGCACCCTTCACCCTCCCTCCATAATTACCAAATCCCAGATGATTCACAGTTCCGAAAACAAGCCTGTCGGAAAGCCAATTTCTGCAACAACCTTTATATCAATTTTTTTTTCCCTTAACAAAGAACAATGGAAACAATTTGTGCTCCATCTTTAAAAATGAGAGAAAACAGGTGTGGTGGGGCAGCCTGTACTCCCAGCTACTGGGAAGGCTGAGACAGAAGGATTGCAAGCTCAAGGTCAACCTGGGCAATTTAGCAAGACTCTGTCTCAAAATAAAATTTTAAAAGGGCTGGGGGTATAGTTCAGTGGCAGAGCATCCCTGAGTTCAATACCCAGTACTGAAAAAGAAAAGGGGAAATAACCCTAAAGTGGTGGTGTGGCCTGTAGTCCCAGCTACTTGGGAGGCTGATGTAGGAAGATCACTTGAACCCAGGAGTTCCAGGCCAGACTGGGAACATAGTGAAACCCTGTCTCTAAAAGATTTTCTTTTAAACATGATAAACATTACTGAATGACTACTGTGTCCTGTACTATGTTCAGCATTTTATTTAGTTCAGTTGTCAGATTTGGCTACACATACAACCACCTTGGGAGTTTTTAAAATCCCAGTAGCCAGGGCATCCTTCTTTGTCAAGGGTACAGTGATTCCAACTGCAGTCAAGATTGAAAACCATTGATTTAGTTCACCTTGTAAATCCTCACAGTAAAATTTGGCATGGTAACTTTTATACCATTTTGCAGATGAAACAGAGCTTCAAAAAAGGTAGATTAACAAACAAACAAACAAAGGTAGCTTAGCATCCGTAGCCCCAACCAATAAACTCTCCCACTTTCCTTCTCAGATTTCTTTGAGAAATTCCTGATGCATCAAGGTTTTTCTGTCATATATAATGATTCTATAAATAATGCTGCCAGGGACATGTTTATGGCATGACACTGACCCCCTGGCTACCTTAAGGTTGCTCTATCCCAACAAGGCTCTTCTGTGATAGCAGCAAGACACTACCTGGGTTCAGGACTAATAATAAAATGAAAACAACTTTCAAATAAGAAGTACTGTCACCTTATGTCACAGAATAGTGGCAGCAGCCCTCCACTTCTCACTGCCCAGTACTTTTCTACACCTGGATTTTTGCCATTGCAGGCCCACCCCCTCTAAGTCTTTTCCTCAGTTCCCTTGCTCTTTAAAGTCCTTCCCTGATACTTTTCAGAGCATCTTCTTTGCAAGGGTCATACATATGCACAGGTTGTCCTAGAGGTCTTTGATCCAGACAAGCTCACGAACTACAGATGCCAAGGGAAAAGCCGTTTCCTGGCTCTGGTCTCGCCGGTGGCACAAGACCTGGCAGATCTTCTGGTCCTGAGCCTACCTGGGCACTCACCTGGACTCACCTGTCCACCCCGCGACTCCTGTAAGTGGAAAGGGAGCTCAGCTGCTGAGAAGGCCGGTCACTGTCTGCCCTCTGCTGGTCAGTGGCGGTATTGAGCCTACTGTCCACATGTATGGAATGAATGGAAAGAAGGATTAGGAGTTGCCTGTTGTAAGTCAGGAACTGTACTGAGCGTTGGGGTGTAAGTATGAACGTGACGTGCTCTCATGAATTTCAAATTTAAATATATCATGAATTTCAAATTTAAATAGAAAGGCAGACATTCAAGGGTGAAGACCAGTGACAGAGCGCTGGCCCCAGCAACACACACACACACACACACACACACACACACACACACACACAGAAAACACCTCACATTAATCAAATAGTCATTCAAGCCAATACTAAATTGCAACTGTGGGCTATATAAGCATATGACTGTAGGATCCTGTCTAAACTGAAGGTGTAGGGGGTTCAGGGAAAGCTGCCCTAGGACAGGAAATTTGAGCACCAGGCCAACCCGGCATCTCACAGTCATTTCTTATAATCTCGAAAATCCTGCAAGGTGACTTTTCGCTTTGACAAAGCAGAAAACGGGCTCACACCGGGAAAAGAATTCGCCTCAGGTCACAGAACGAGCTGGAAGAAAAGCCAGGATTACCTAGGTCAGCAAAGTGCCAAAGTTCCCGCTTTGCCGCCACTCCTGGCGGTTGAGCAAGTGGCGGGCCACAGGGACACTCCATCTGGCAACTCCAAGGCGTGGGGCGGGGCCAGCGGTGGAGCGGGAGTGGGGCGGATCCTGGAGTCCGGCCCCGCCCCAGCCTCTTCCCGAGAAAGGGCGCCCTGGGGCGTGGAGACGGGGCGGGGCCGGGTCTTTTCAGGATCGGGTGGAGCCTGGGCGCGGCCGCACCTGGTTGGTGGAAGGGGTGGAGCCGGGCTCTCCGGTCCCGGAGGAGGCGGAAGCTCCGAGTGAGTGCCAACCGAGGACGCTTACCTGTTGAGCCTGTGCTCACAGGTAGAGGTGGCGGCTCCGGGTCCAGCAGGTCCAGTGAGCAGCTTCCCAGGTAGGGCCCAATCTGGGCCAGGAAAGATATGTCCCTCTCCCCTCCCACGCTGTCCTTCTCCCCCGCCACTTGATCTTCTTCCTTTAGGTTTGCGGTCTTGAGTCCACTTCTAGCACTGAGATGGGAGCGTAGGGGTGGTGGGTCGGTCCTCACTTCTTCCCTCTCCCTGGCTCAGGAGCTGCGAGCTCCTTAGATCACGARAACATGGAATCTGGAGGGGAGATACCAAAACCTCCTAGGAAGCCTGGCCCAGCTTTGCCCAGACTGACCGTGACCTTGGAGAGGGCACCATACGCTCTGGTACCTAATATCTTCAGTTGCAAAGCCGGCTCTGACTCTTACCCAGCTTGCCTTGAGACTGGAGGCAATCTAGGGAGCTAGGGTGACACTTTCTSTCTTTTAGAGCAATAGAAGTGCTACTGCTGGGCTGGGGATAGATCTCAGTTGGTAGAGTGCTTGCCTTGCATGCACAAGGCCCTGGGTTCAATCCCTAGCACCACAAAAAAAAAAGAAGAAGAAGAAGTGCTACTGCCTGTGGTCCTAGATAGAGAACCACACCCTCCCACACCCAAATCTGGGAGACTTGGAGGGTGGAGAGCTGAGACCAAGGGCAGCTTCTTCCTAGCTTCCCCATGGTAGAGTTGTTGGCTACCCTGCAAGGCATGTTGACATTCCCAGAGTGGTATCTGAGGCTTGATTAAGGCACCCTGTGAGGCCTGCGGGGGGGGAGGGGGCAGCACCTGCTCCTTTTACAAAAATGGGGATTTGAATGGCAAGTTAATATATCAGCTCTCAACTGCAAGCAGTGTATTAGAAGCTGACCTACTGCAATACCTACAGGATCAGCCTGGGTAAGTGGGACTGTCATGTTGCCAAAAAAAAAAAAAAAAAAGATGCTGCTACTTCTGCTAGGTGACACATGTGGGCATTTATTGCACATCAGAGCTTTACACAAATTATCAATTACTCACACCTGATATTATCCCCATTTCAAAGGCTGAAACTAAGACTCAGAAAATGAAGTGTCTTGCCCAAAGCCACAGCTAGTGAGTGCCAGAGTGGAGATTAGAACCCAGGCAGTTCGGCCCCTTACCCATAATGTCCATGATCAGAACATCTGGTCATAAAGCCTTGGCCTGGGACAGCAGGAGAAGGAAGGAGGGGCTGGATGAACAGTACATCCTGGGGATAGGATTCAGAGGGCTTGGATCAAAAGACAATCAATGAGTTCTGAAAGGCATTCAGGTGACCAGGCTTCCAGGGGATGAGGATGAAGTGGTTGATTTTAGACATGTTAGTTTGAGGGTGGGGATAAAATAGGGGAGCCAAGCAGAGCTCCTTGTCTGGAGAAGACCAAGTAGGCAGAGCTGGGTCCTGGGGAAAGAAGGTACCTTCAGTGATGCGCGTAGGCAGAAAGGAGGAACCCAGGGCTTGGCTCACAGGAGGCCCCCAAAGTACCAAACAGGCGGGTGTGGGGAGCATCCACTGGTGGGACAGGGGAAAACAGAGTTGAGAAAATTCTAGATGCCCATGACATTCAAACCGAAATGGTTCTGAATTGAGGCTTTTTTTCAGAGGAGGGAAACTAAGGCCAGCAAGTTACTTGCCTGAAAATACTCCATGGGTAGGTCTGAGTAGTGTCCAAGTGCCCCCTCGATACCCATTTCTGCCATTCAGCTCTTTTCTATTAGACCAGTGCTTCTCATCTGGTTCGATTTTTGCCCCCACCCCCACCCCCACCCTGGAGACATTTAACAATGTTGGGAGAGAATTTGGTTGTCACAATGGGGAGTGCAGGAGAGGAAATAATACTAGTATCTAATGGGTAGAGATCAGGGGTGCTGGGTAGAGATCATGGGTGCTGCACAATATCCTATGATGCACAGTTCCCCACAACAAAGAATCTCTGGCTCCAAATGGCAGTCTTGCTGAAGTTGAGAAACTACTAGAAAAAGCTAAGCTGCCACCTTCCTTTCCTACTCTAGCCCTTTTGTCCTTCTAAAGGGCAGATAGCTCAGGCATAGGCCTCCACTGACCAGACCTTTGCCCCCACCCCTGCCCTGCCTATCCCGTGCTTACTCCTTTATTTCTGGAAGCTTTTGAGTCCTCTGTTTTGCCTGGGCTCATTACTCTAGAGCCCTGCCATCATCAGATGGATATCTGTCCTTGTCAATCTGTCTCCCCAGACCTAGAGTCACAGAATTTAGTGTTAGGAAGAGACCAAAGTGGAGTTTCTCACCTACCCACCTGGCAGGTACCTTCAAGATAAAATAGTCTTTGAATTTAAAATGACATGTTAGGGATCCAAAGAGTTTCATTTTACCCCATTTTTGTTTTAGCAGTTCCAATCAGGCCTCGTATTGGTGAAGTTCTGACATATATTKAAGGAATCCACTGCTTGGTCTGCCATCCCAGGACAGGCAGGACAGCAGCATTACCTGAGAAATGCTGTCTGTGGGGGATCCTGTCATTCAAACTCTTCCAAGAGTAGGCTGTGGACTGTGCATACTAAGGTAGTTCCAGTTCTCCAACACTAAAGGGTAYAGGCACTGCCTGGGGATCTTATTAAAATGTAAATGGAAAATTAGGAGGGATGAGCTGAGCCTGGGTTTTTATATTCCAAACAAGTGCCCAGGTGACGATGATGCTGCCAGTCTGTGGACCACATTTTTAGTTCAGGGCATCACAAGACTATGCAAAGGTTGCTGTGGGCTGGGTTGCCCTCGCCAGACAACTGTGGTATAGTTTTGGGACCAAGGACTGGAAGGAGCCCATGGTATGGAGTTAGGAGATCTGGATATGAGTCATTACAGACACACACACAGACACACACAATTAAAAAAAAAATCTATACCCTATGGGCTTAATAGAGCTAGGATAAATCACTCAGCTTCTTCAAGGGGTGGTCTTGTGTGGTTGTGGTACTGGGTCTAAGAGAGGCAGATGYGCTGTGAAGGTGGGACAGTCTGGGTCTTGACATCCAGATGCAAGCAGCAGGTCATTGGCCTGGCCAGCAAGGCAGGGCTACTGAGCTGACACTGCTAGAGTGGACACCATGCCAGCTTGGAGGTGGCTCTCATTATAGCCCTGGCTTTTCTCCACTCTTCCTCCAGCCTTCCGCTTCTGCTGCTGCTTCACCCAGCCCTGCCTGATGTGGGAGAGCTGGAGGGACCGGTCTGGCTGGAGGAGGGACAAGCTTTGGCCCAGAGCCTGAATGTGGGTCTGAGGGCCTATCTGATCAAGTCTTGGTCTGCAGCTGGGGGCTGAGAACTACAATCTGGAGACCCTGGGGTCAGGCATGGGCCTGCACTGCAGGGTGGACCATGAACAGGCATCCCACCCGGGAAGTGGGAAGGAATTTGGAATGTGTGGCCTTAAGTCCCCAGCTACAGGGGAGACCCTACCTTGGATTACTGGCCCCAGGAACAAGGCTAAGAAGTCTTAGGTCCCTGAGGTGTTCCTACCCCTGGTCCCCCACAATGGCCAAAAAAAATGCCCCTTCCAACTCCCAGGACCAGGAGGCAGCAAGACAGATGAACCCATTTCTTAGATAAACAGAGACCCCCTCCTCCCCATTTCCTTTAAAAAGGCTGCCATCACCCAGCAGGGCCCTGAGCCTCATTTGAGGCTGCCCCCATTGCCCATCCTGTCCAGTTTTCACAGCTGGATCATTCCGGCGGTTTATGATGGGGTTCAAACCCAGGTCCTCTCCTGACTAGGTGTGAGACCCTGGACAAGCCACTCCACCTCTCTGATCTTCCTGTGGCTCATCTGTAAACAGGAGTAATAACACCCGCTCTGCCAGCCTCGCAGGGTTGTTGTGACGATGAAGTGAGCCATGCCCATGGAGCCCATGGTCATTATCGTGAGTCATGGCATTTAGAAGCACCGGCACCCAGGGATTGTCTTACTCTGTGCCCTTGTTTTTAACAGATGTGGAGATCGGCAGTTGAGAGAGGAGCCAGCCGTCCAGGGATCCCACAGCCGGTTGGTGGGCCAGCCAGGGAGCGGCTCCCGTCCCCCAGCCGTCCCCTCTGTGCCGAGGTTCTCCTGCTCTGAGGCAGGACACCAAGTGAGCCTGGGCATCTGGGCGGTCCGCTGTAGAAGCCTCCCCACGAAGGGACCTTGGTCCGAGGCACTGCCTCTCTGCCAGCACCAGCCATGAACTACGTGGGGCAGCTGGCCGGGACAGTGTTTGGGACGATGAAGGAGCTGTATCGGGGCCTGAACCCCGCCACGCTGAGTGGCGGCATCGATGTGCTGGTGGTGCAGCAGGTGGACGGCTCCTTCCGGTGCTCACCCTTCCACGTGAGGTTTGGCAAGCTGGGCGTCCTGCGGTCCCGGGAGAAGGTGGTGAGTGCTCCAGGCCACCAAGGTGGCCACTGTGTGGGGTGGGGGGGTAGAGGGTGGTTTTAGAACAGGGCAGCCATGACCGTCCCAGGAGAGGACCTGGACCTCCCTTAGGTGAGGATCCATCCCCTGCATGGATTTCCCTTTTTCTGTTTTCATGGAAGGTTTTTGGGTTGGCTGAGGGTTTTGGCCTGGGATTATTCCCATTTTCCCATGGAAGAAGCTCAGTGAGGCCSACCGTGGTTTTGCAGCTGTGAGGCCTGGCTGTGACTTGCAGAGAACTCATCTGTGTTCTTGCTAAGTCATGTCTGTCTCCCAGCCCAGTCCCTCATTGCTACGGATGTGCATGATCTTATCTGCCCAGTGGTGGCTTGGGAGAGTAAATAGGAATTAAAAATGCTTTCTCAGGGCCACGTATAGGGCTATACTCAGAGGCTAGTTCCTGTAAACCCACATTCTACACAGGGCTCAGGAGAACAGGATAGAAAGTTGTGTTAGCACCAGGGTTCCTTGTGTGAGTACGGTGGACCCAATCCCCTTCTTGATGGGGCAACCRTGAACTTTCCAGAATGTGACAGGAAAGTGTAACCTGTGGGAGACAGTGTACCTCAGAGGTTGAGAAGGTGAGTTATGGAGTTTTGGGGTTTCTAGACTCACTGGCTGTGAGGCTGCTTCCTCGCAAATTACTTAAACCTCCAAGCCTCAGTTTCCTYRTCCATAAAGTGGAGATAATGATAGGAGCTACTGCAAAGGTTTGTTGTGTCACCATTAGTGAGATGATCTACACAAAACACCGTAGGATGGCCCAGCGGGTGGTAATTCTCATCCTTGTTCGTGCAGTCAACAACCTGGGGGCTGGGACGMTGCAGCCCTGTTCTTGTGGGATGTGGGAGAGAGAGGAACATGAAAACCAAGTGATAAACAAGCATCCAGGCATACCAAGGTCGGGGTGGGGGTGGGGGTGGGGGGAGAGCTCCAGCCAGTGCAGAGCTTGGGGCAGCAGGGAGCTGCCAGTGGACTGGGCATCCCTGGCCCACCACCCCCCATTACAGGTAGACATCGAGATCAATGGGGAGCCGGTGGACCTGCACATGAAGCTGGGGGACAGYGGGGAGGCCTTCTTTGTCCAGGAGCTGGACAGCGATGAGGTAAGAGTCGCCTTTCTCCTCAGTGCCTGCCTGGCCCCTTTACTGGTGCCCCCTCTGGGTGGGGCCTGGGGATCCATCACTGTCCCCGCCCTTGGGAGCTCTCCATTGGCTGAGGTCTGATGCAGGGGAGTTCCCTGAGGCTGGCCTTGGGCAGGGGATAAGCTGTGGGATCCCAGAGAAAGGGGCAGCCAGCTGACTCCGCTTGCCAGGGAGTTGGGAAAGTCTCAGAAGAGGGGCCCCTGAGCTGGGCCCCTGAGGGATAGAAAGGAGGCCTCCTCTGGCCAGCATGGAGAGAAGGGCACTGAAGAACRGTCCAGGAGGCACCAGGTCTGGCTTGTTCTCAGTCTGGTCCTTGCAGCTGGGCACAGGGGTGTGTGGGTGGAGGAAACAAGAGCCTCATTTGCATGAGGGGGCGGGGCCCAGCACAAGCCCAGGGAGGAGTTTAAACTGTGAGAACAAACTTTAGTTGAGCTCCTACTGTATACCAGAYCCTAGGCAGCAGACTCAGACAAAGGCTGATTCTTGCCCTTCAAGAAAGTTCCAGACTAATGTGGGAGACACATACATCAATGCTGGGCCTGTGTGGTCATTGCAGTGAAGGGGTTGGAACTGGGGTTTGGGGTAGTCAAGGCAAGCTTCCTGGAGGAAATGGCTTCTGGCTGAGGCTTAAAGGAGAAGAAGGTGTCCWCTGTTACGGACTTGGCAGAGGCAAGAGGCTAAGACCCAGGTTTCTTTCTGGTCAGCTGGGGTGGCGGGTGGCTCCCTGGGATGGGGGCTGCTCTACCTTGTTATGGAACTCTGTAGGCAGCAGTGACCGCAGGGCCATGCTGCTGCCACCTCTACCTGCAGGGCCAGGGCCTCAGGTCGGGCTCTGAATGACCGGGGTGAGGACACCCCCACCTGGCTCAAGCCCTCCCAGCCCTGCCCCTGCTCTGCTCCACAGGAGGACGTGCCTCCCTGCCTGTGTACCTCACCCATCCCATGGGGGGGCCTGTCGGGCTTTCCCTCCAACTCCCTGCATGGCACAGCTAAGGAGCCCGAGGGCCTGGTCATGGTGGGCTCGGCCTCTGCGGGGCGGAAGAAGAGGCGTCGCAGGAGGAAACCCAAGCGGAAGGAGGATGCAGTGGCAGCAGATTCTAGTTCTGAGGAACTTGAGGCAGGCACCGAGAGTGAGCTGTCCCCGCTGGAAAAGCCAAGGCCAGAGCCCCCAGGGTGTGTAGAGACCCGAGGAGGCTGGGTTGTGGGGACACCAACCTGGGGTTCAAATGCTCTCTTCTTCTGCTGATGCTGTGGCTCTGGGTAAGTCCCTTGACCTCTCTGGGCTTTAATTGCTTCACCTTTCCAATCCCTGAGGTCCAGGCTTCCATGCCCTGCCTGGGGTGTCCTGCTCTCTCTCAGAACATTTCCCTGTCCTCCCTCAGCAGTATTCAGTTGGAAGGGGAATCCTCACCACAGTCCAAAGACATCTACCCCTACTCGGATGGCGAGTTTGCGCCCCAGGCCAGGTAAGCGAACCGGTGGGCTGCAGAGGTTTCGCTTTATACCTTTAGGATGACAAACGACACAGAATCCATTTCATCTATTTATTGGCCATTTGTATTTCTCTGTGTTTAAGTCTTTTGCCAGTTTAAGAAATTGTGGCAAAATACAATAGAGTGAAATTTACCATTGTAACCAATTCAAGTGCAAACTTCAGTGGCATTACGCACATTTGCCATGTTGCGCAACTGTCACTACTAGCTAGTTCTAGAAGTTTTTATCACCAAAAAGGAAACCCGGTACCCATTAAACAGTCACATCTTGCCCTCCTTTTTGTATTTTTTGTATATATTTTTTAATTGGATTTCCAGCGAGGGGCAGTGGCACGTGTTTATAATCCCACTTACTCTGAGGCAGGAAGACTGCCTAGACCAGCCAGGGCAACTTAGCAAAATAAAAAAATAAGAAARCAGGGCTGAGGATGTAGCTCCATGATAGAGCGCTTGCCTAGCATGCAGGAGGCCCTGGATTCAATCCCCAKTACCACAAAAAACAAAAACTGGATTTCCTTCTTATTATTGACTCATAGGAGTTCTTCATATATTTATAGGATTGGGATGACTTAGACTTGACATATTCTTTACATATTCTGGATTCAACACAGGCATAAAAGTGTTGCAAATACTTTTCTCAGGGCTGGACTGGGTGACGGGGTGTTGGCTGATGGGGGGACAGGTCTCTGAGTACTTGTTTCTTGTAGCCTCTTACCAGAAGGCTTACCGTCCCCTAAGAGTGACTCTGAGCTGGAGCTGCGGGCCCCAGAGTCCAGTCCCCTGAGAGCTGAGTCCCACATGCAGTGGGCGTGGGGAAGGCTGCCTAAGGTAAGTTCCTCCATGTCACCCCCACTCCCTGCCTTTTAGGGGCTCCTTGGCCCTTTGGGTTAGGATTGGGATGATGAATTTGGGCCACTTCCCCACAGCTTTCTGGGGTGTGGAAGGTGGGTCCTGCGCCAGCCCATATCTTCCCATATTTGTTTGACTGCAGGTAGCCAAAGCTGAGCGGCCTGAGTCCACAGTGGTCCCTCCAGGTGGCGCTGGGACAATCTCTGCTCTTCAGAAAGTACCCAGCACCTCCTGCTCTTCTGTGGCTGCCGTGGACCCTTCGGGATCCCCAATCCTGCAAACAGGGGCAGGGGCTGGCCTGTTTGTGGAGTCCCAATGGACAGAGACTCTGCTGGCCCCAGAGAGCGAGGAAACCAAGACTCAGAGCTCTGGGGATGCAGGCCTCTCTCCTGACTCCAAATCATGGAGCTGGGCCACCCTGGAGGGCCCTGTTCCCACCGGGCAGCCAGAGGCCTCTGTGGGGAAAGGTGAGTGCTACTGGGACCCCTGGCGCTGGCCTCATATGGCTCCTGGGTGGGCTCCGGGACTGCAGGGACTTTCTGAGCACCAAGTGGCCCCGGCCCTCACGGGCTTRCCATGCAGGGTGTAGCCAGTGTACACACAAGAAGGAAGGTGAGACGTGGGCTACAYAGCAGGGCAAGTGGTGGGAGCCAGGCCAGGGAGGACCTCTCTGAGCTGGTGACTCTGGAGCTGATGGGAGATCACGCTCCACCCCGGTGAGGAGCAGGGGAGGAGAATTCTAGCATGAATGGGGGTGCCAAGACGGGAGAGAGGTGTCGTGTCAGGGGAGCAAGGGCAGCTGGAGCTTTGAGTGGGCTGGGGGAGGGGGTTGGGACAGGGGATGAGCAGGGCCCGATGTTTGTCCATTCATGAGCTGGGATTTACAGCGAATGGCAGGAGGACATTCGGCCTGCACTGTCCAAATCAGTAGCCACTGGCTTATATATGGCTAAGTAACATTGAATTTAATTAAAATTAAGCAAAATTTAATCTTCTGTTTGTATGTCACATTAACCCCATCTTAAAGTGTACTTAGCAGCCACATGTGCCTGGCTAGGGGCTACCACACTGGTCAGACATGGGACATTTCTGCCATCACAGAAAGTTCTGTTGGTAGGCTGTTCACAGGCAAGGGGCGTATGCTGCTCACTACTGAGCCATGTTCAGTGTCCCCTTCTCTGCCCTCAGGCTCYCTGAAGAGAAGCCAGCATCTGGGCCCCAGTGACATCTACCTGGATGACTTGTCTTCCCTGGACTCTGAAAATGCAGCCCTTTACTTCCCCCAGAGGTACCTGGGATCTGGGTGCCGGGGTGTCTTGGGACTGGGGCCTGCGGGGCCACAGATCAGCTGTCAGTGGCCAGGGAGGTATGCGAACCCATGTCTCCCTTCTCTGTATTTATGTCCCTACTGACCCTTCATCCCCAGTGACTGTGGGCTTGGGGCCAGGAGGTGGAGTGAACCCAGCAGCCAGAAGCTCCTGGGAAACACTAACCCCAAACCTGTGCCAGAATCCACTCTGGACTCCGTGGACACCATAACGCTGTCCCTCTGCGGTGGACTGGCTGACAGCCGGGATATCTCCCTGGGTATGTTCATCCACATACTGAGCCCTTCTGAGGATAAGCACAGATCCCAAAGGACAGGAGAGGACAGAAGACCCCTTGGGAGGGGCAGAGCTGTGAGACTAGGTCAGGCTGTGAGACCAGCAGGGGCAGGGCGTTCCTAAGTCCCTCTAGACAGAGGCTTGACACTGAGCTGTGACGTATCTCTTGATTCCTGGGGTGGGATCAGGTACAAAAAAACACCTGTAGGAGGGGAGGAACCCTATCAGGTCAGAGAACCAACTGGTAGGAGGTATGTGGTAGAGTGTGGGGAGCCTGGCATCATACGTGGGCAGTGGGTCATATGTGGGATGTGCCAGCCTCACCCCTCACTCTCCACCTCTGTGCCCAGAGAAGTTCAATCAGCATGTGGTCTCCTACCAGGACCTCACTAAAAATCCCGGACTCCTGGATGATCCAAACCTAGTGGTGAAAATCAATGAGAAGTAAGTAGCGGGGGTGGGGTGGGGTGGGGTGGGGGTGGGGAGGGGTGTGTGGGTGCAGGTGGCCTGAAGTTCCGCCGAGACTGCTGCAGCCCCAATACCCCATTCTCTCTCTCTCCAGGCACTATAACTGGGCTGTGGCTGCCCCCATGATCCTTTCCCTACAAGCCTTTCAGAAGAATTTGCCTGAGGTAATGGTTAGCACACAATGGAACTGTAGCTTGGGGTCAGGAGGCCCTGGCAAGGAAGTGGAGGGTGAGCAGGGATGGGCCTGGGAGCCTGTGGCTACTAACTACAAGACCCATTCTGAGAGAGGAGACTGAGGTCCCCCCAGCCTTGCTCCATCCTTCCCAGGTTTCCTAAGCAAGGCTGGATCCTGTTGGGTTTGGACTTTACTTCAAAGGAGCTCAGGGCAAACCAGAGGGGGATACACTTCTGACAGATGCCTAAACTAGAACTTGCCTTAGACAGGAGGATTTGGGATCTGAAAGATGAGTGGGATCAGCACACCACAGGTGTTGAGCACCTCAAATGACCAGGCCCAGACTGGGCATAGTCTCTAATCAAATAGAAACTGTCTCCACCCTCTAGGAAGATGGAGCAAATAAAAGAATCATCAAATGAACATAAAATTCAACTGAGTGCTGGAAAGGAGAGGTCCAGGGTACTCCGAGGGCCTACAATGGCAGGAGCTGCTAGGCGAGTGCACACTGGGCAGATTGGAGGATGAGTGGGGCTCGAGCAGGTTGGGGCAGGGAACGGCACGTATGGATGCCTGGAGTTGGGAAGGGACCCAGCTTCTTCATTCCCTCTCAGAATCTCCACCCTTCCTGGGCCATCTGCCCTTGCTCTCAGAGGACATTCCCTCCTGAGCAGTGCCAGCTGGCCTGTACTTCTGCCTCTCTGGGAGTCATCCAGGGCCTCCCCTTGCCTGGCCCACTGTTCTTGGTTCAGTTAGGCTTGTCCAAAGAGCATTACCAACCAGATGTTGATAGCTGGTGCTTCCCTTTGGTGACACTCAGCTCCAACCTCTGGCTGGCTCTGGGTCTCAGCCCAGAGCCCATGAGAAGGAAACCCCCTAAATTGGTTCCCTTTGCCTTACTCAAACAAATCCACCATAATGATGCTCCTGAAAGCTCCCCCCCCCAAGAGCCTGTCCCCAGTAAAAGGGGTATGCTAGGTGGCCCAACATGTCCTCCCGACTTAGGTTCCGTGTTCTGCTTCTGGAAAATGCTAATGTGTCTGGTGGGCCTAGGTCTGGGCTCTCCCTGAAATTATCTAGCACAGATCTAATCAGCATTTTTCACCAGGTCGTTTCCCCCCAGTTAAACAGTGATGGGAACATACAGAAAAGGAGGCTCTTCATGAAACAGGATCCCTGGCCTCAGGAGGCCACCTGTGTCTATCTTGGAGGTTGAAGGGTGTCCCGGCTATAGACTGTCCTTCCTGCCGCCACTTGGCAGCATCACACGTGGAGGACCAGTTCTTGAGAAACTCCCAAAGCAGCTCTACCTTCTGGCCCTCTAGCAAGGGGACTGACTCACAAGATGTGGAGGGCAGGCTGCGGTTGGGCTGGGTCAGGCTGGGGGATGGGAATGGCCCTTAGTTTCCTATGCACAGCTCCATGAGTCACCACTTCTCAGGAGGAAAGTGAACATGGTTTCTCAGCCCCCAGATGTTGACAGCACCTGGCCGAAGGGTTGGCCTAGACTCTGGGCTTGTGGGAGTCCCAAGGGCAATGTAAGGAAGGTGTGTGGGGTACAGAAAGAACGGCCATGGTTTCTATCTGCCCACAGAGTACCGTGGACAAGCTGGAGAAGGAGAAGATGCCCCGGAAGGGTGGGCGGTGGTGGTTTTCCTGGCGCCGCAGGGACTTCCCAGCAGAGGAGGTAGGTGGTCATGGTTCAGGAGGTGGGGCCAGCACGGGGCTGGAGGCCGTCCAGTGATGGATATTCTTCCTACAGCGCAGTGCCCAGAGGGAGAAAACCACAGCCAGGGAGCAGCAGGGGTGAGTTGGACCCGCTGGTGACTTTGCAGCTGGGGCCTGGGGCCAGGCCATGGTTCTTTTTCCTTGAGAATGTTCCCACTTCACAGATGGGAAAACTGGGACCTAGAGACACATCGAATGTCCCTCAGCCAGGAAATGGCAGGGCTGGAACAGGCACTCAGATAAGCAGGGACTGGCYGATCTGGCCTCCTTTTTTCACCTCTGATGCAACTCAGCCTCCTGAGGATGGGCTGGCTGAAGCCAAAGAAGGGGAACCTGGGAATAAGCCCCAAGACACACATTAGGGGCTTATTATCCCACATAAGCATCTCCAGAACAGGCCCTGCGTCCTGGCAGTGGAGACACACTGAGGTTGGGCACTGATCTGCTTTTACCTGCTGGGGTGGATACTGCCAGCCATCACCCAGGTGTTTGTTACCACCCCACACAGGTGACACCTAGAGGGAGGCGCAACCTTGGGAGTGTCAGGGACAGGTTCCAGGCTGCTCAGGGCCTGGGCCAAGAGTAAGCACCTACTTAAGGGAAGCACCTTTGCATGGGGGAGTGGCTTGAGTGCCCGCTCTGCCTGCAGGGAGAAGACTGAAGTCCTGAGCAGCGAGGACGATGCCCCAGACAGCCCTGTGATCCTCGAGGTCCCCCTTCCACCACCCTGCACTCCAGCCTGCATGCTCACCTACAAGAAATCCCTGCGCCTCACTTCTGATCAGATTGTAAGTACATGCACACGTGTGTTTCTAGCAGGAGCAGGGCTGAGCTGAATCTGTCCCAGAATTTCAGAGCTGAGCTGAGACTGGTTACCAAAGGCCAGAATCCATCCATTGGGCAGCTGTCCTAAAGGCCAGAGGCAGGGGCTCACTTCTTCCCATGCCAGCCCATTTCTCTGTGGGATGCTCTGATTGGAAAAGTCCTCTCTTGTATCCTCCTGAGATATCTACCTGCAGTGACCTGGTTGGCTCTGGGTTTGCCTTTGGAAGCCGTATCAATGGAATCAAATGCTGATAACAGCCCTTTGTATTTTAGCAACACCAGTCCTTCAAGTCACATGGTCCCCGAGCTCATAATGGGTGGCACTTGTAACAGGGACATTTTTCTTTGTGTGTGGCTCCATGGTCAGGAGGTATCTAGGAGGGTCTGACCAGCCTGGTGCAAGCTCACACACATCTCAGGGTCAGCCAACTGGCTTTGGTAAAACAGCTACCTCTGTTTTTCTCAGTGGATCACATATAGGCCTGCTTTTTGTTTTTTTTTTTTTTTTTTGGAGGGGGATGTATTGGGGATTGAGTCCAGGGGCACTTAACCACTGAACCACATGCCCAGGCCTTTTTATTTTGAGACAGGGCCTCACTAAGTTGCTGAGGCTGGCTTTGAACTTATAAACCTCCTGCCTCAGCCTCCTGGGTGGATAGGAATATGCCACTATGCCTGGCTGGCCTGGGTCTCTCTTTAAGGGAATGTTGAGTCAGGTACATTAGGCTTTCTGTGAAGACCCCCATAGGACTCCATCTGTGGAGTGGGGTTTCTCCCTGCCAAAAGTAGCCTCAACCTTGGGCTGACCCTTGACCTGGGCAAATCATAGGCATGGCTTGTCTGAGACTCATCTTGGAGAGTACAGGGAAGTTAGGGCTCCTRTGCCCTGCACTCTGCAGGGCCCTAGCCAGCATGAGCATCCTCTGCCCACATGCGTGTGTTGGCTATCTTCAGGAAGGGTCCTGAGCTGGGAGGAAGAGAAGAATGAGAAGCCCATGGGGGTCAAAGGTTGGAGAGGGGTGGATAATGCCTGTCTATATTGGATCACAACGTGCCCCTCTTTACCTGGCCCCAGCGGCACCTGAACCTTCATGAAGGTGCCAATGATGTGGTCTTCAGTGTGACCACCCAGTACCAGGGCACCTGCCGCTGCAAGGCCACCATCTACCTGTGGAAATGGGACGACAAGGTGGTCATCTCCGACATTGATGGCACCATCACCAAGTGAGGCCCAGCTGGCCAGGGGGAGGGGAAGGAGGGCCTGGGGACTCTGTTGGGTCTGTGTAGAGGTGAGGGACAGTGTGGAAGGCCCTCCTTTCCTGTAGGCCATCCTGAGGTTGGGGGCTGGGCCCCCCTGGGTTATACACATGGAAGAGGAGGGCCATGTAGGACAGCCTCAGAGTGACTCTTCTTCTCTGTCTGTAGGTCAGATGCTCTGGGCCACATTCTGCCCCAGCTGGGGAAAGACTGGACACATCAGGGCATCATCAGTCTCTACCACAAAATCCACCTGTGAGTGCCGGGTTGGGGCCAAGGCACGGAGTGAAAGGGTACTTAGGCCATCCTGACTTCTGCCCCTGGAAGCCAGGTTTGGGAAACAACAGGGCCCACAAGGGAGGCAGATTAGCAGGTCCATGGAGTACCGAGACCCTCTTCCTAGTGAGCTGTCTTCCTGCTGGTTTCAGGCCAGGGGTAAGCCCTCCTCCGTCCTGGTCYGCTGGGCCTCGGAACTATGTCCATGTTCCTTTTAGCTAGGACAGCTACTAAGGTCACTTCTTTCAGCCCTGGCCTAGCCCTTCTTCCTGAGTCCTCCCATCTCCTTCTGCAAAGTTCTCTGGGTTTGCAGACCTGAGCCCCAGGGTTAGGCTGGGCTGAACTGGATGAGGCCAAGGGGACAGGATGAGAGTGGCTAGTCTCTGATGGCTCTGTGCCAACATGTCCTCCACCCCCCAGAAATGGGTACAAATTCCTGTATTGCTCAGCACGGGCCATCGGCATGGCTGACCTTACCAAGGGCTACCTGCAGTGGGTGAGCGAGGACGGCTGTGGCCTCCCCAAGGGCCCCATCCTGCTATCTCCCAGCAGCCTCTTCTCGGCCCTCCACAGGTAACCACCCCTACACAAAACAAGCCCAAGGCCTTGAGGGAGGGACAGGTGCAACCAGGCCAGCATTCAGTCGTGGGTGTCGGCTGGGGCTAGATCAGACCCCATGTCACCTGCACCTGCCCCTCTGGTTTCTGCTCCTCCTTGGCCTCCTTCCCTGGCTGTGGCCATGGCTGTCCCAGGGAGGTAATCGAGAAGAAGCCAGAGGTGTTCAAGGTCGCCTGCCTGAGTGACATCCAGCAGCTATTTCTGCCCCATGGACAACCCTTCYATGCAGCCTTTGGCAACAGGCCCAACGTGAGTGTGCTCCCTCCCCAGGGCCGAGTCCCCCCCTCTCCAGTCCCAACGGCCTCAGTTCCACTGCCCTTGTCCTCCACAGGATGTCTTTGCCTACCGGCAGGTGGGCCTACCTGAATCTCGGATCTTCACAGTCAACCCCCGTGGAGAGCTCATCCAGGAGCTCATGAAGAACCACAAGTCCACGTGAGGCCCAGCCCTGCCACATCCCCATGCCTTGGCCTCTCCCTGGGCCCCAATTTTACCTCCTCCCCGGCAGGATCCTGAGTCCCCACTTCCCGAGGTGGGGGCCGAGGCCTGGCCCTGCTCAGGCTCTTTCTGCCCACAGGTACGAGCGGCTCAGCGAGGCCGTGGAGCTCCTCTTCCCGCCTGTGGCTCGTGGAGCCTGCGCAGACCTGGCCAACCCTGAATACAGCAGTTTCTGCTACTGGCGGAAGCCCCTGCCTGCCGTGGACTTTGACTCCCTTGCCTGAACCTGCTCTGGAGTCCTCTCCTCCCTGGCCTGGCCCAGGATTGACAGGGTATCTAGGGCATGGGGGTTGGAAGCTCCGTGCTATGGGGAAGAAGAGGGCTGCAGGTGGACAGGTGACCACAGGGACCCTACCTCCTCTCTGAGCTGAAGCAGGTGGAGCAGCTGGTCCAGGCTTCAGCAGGGCCCTGAACTGTGGCAATTAGATGTTTCTCACCTTACCGTCTTCTCTGTGCCCTTGATGCTACCCTGAGACCTTGCCTCAACTCCTGATAGGACAGAGAGAAGAGAAGCCCCACTGAGACTTGAGGGGAAGAGAGGGGGTCAGCAGCAGCAGGGGTGACTGAGTGGCATCTGGAAAGAACACTGCTCCCCCCGCTCCTTCTGGGGCCCTAGCCTGGACCATCTGAAGCCAGACTTTTATGTGGCCCTGCTCTGGTCCACAGTTCTTGAGCCAGGCATCACTGCTTCCCCTCACTGGTACCCTGGTATCTCAGTCCCAGGCCTGGATACGCCACGGTGCCTCTGAAGTCCGGGAAAGGGGATTCAGGGGTACTTGAGGGCTGAGAGAGTGTGGCTCCTGCTTGTCCCATCCCCACTCTCCAGCATGTCCCTGATCCTCTCAGCCCATTCCCTGAGGACTCAGCCTCCAACCCTGCCAGGGGAAATGGTGTTTGCTGACCACCCTGCCCTGGCCTCCATTGGTCAGTTCCATGCATAGCTATTAAGCAAGCACATGCCTGATGTGCTGTGGGATGCGAGGCTGACGCTGTCTTTGAAGAAAGCACCTTAGACTGGCTAAAAGCTTTAATTCAGAATCTGCCCTCCTCCAACAGTGCCCGAGAGGAGGGCATAAAACTGAATGTCCAGAAACCAGAAGGCAGGGCTATGGGACCCGCAAACAGCACAGGAGGCCCATGCTACTCGGGAGAAACTGAGTCCCAGGAGCCCCAGCAGACACCAGAGTCTCTGAGGACAACTTGCTTTTTCCAATTGTCCTGTGAATTTCTCACCACTTTGTGAACCTTTGGCAGGGCTGGGAGCTGGCAAGGGTGTTAAAAGCAAGGCCTGGACCCCTTGAACTCCAGCTGTGGCCTGCCTCTCAGGGTCTGGCTTCCTTCAGGCCCTGATACCCATGAAGGCCACTCTTGGGTGAGAAGTACTGACCTGGGGGAAAGATTTTCCCCCAACTGGAAGGAAAGGACCCTACAGGCACCAGAGTGCTCTGAAAACCTGTTTAGGGAAGGAAAGGAAAGGGAGACCTTGGGGTATCATGTCCAAACCGACTGCCTRGATCCAATGCTTCCTTCTGTGAGCGTCTACAGCTGCCTGTGCCCTCACCTTGAGGGAGGATCAAAAGGAATAAAGAAAACTTTAGGTTGCATCTCTGTGCTGCTGTTCTGTCCTAAAGGACACGGGGAGGGGGGAGCTGGAAACACCTGGTAGTCTCCAGTCCTTCAGAAACAGCATCTCTGAAGCTGCCAGATGTGACAACAGTTCCAGTGGGAGTCACCTTCCTGAAGACAACAATTAGTGACAGAAGCCCCCAAGCACTTTAACTGCCCCTTGTAGGCAGAGGGAACTGGGGGTGGTCCCTGTCTGAGAATGGGCCCAGAGTTGCACAGCTGCTAACTCTGGTGTGTCTGCAAAAGAGCAAGTTGCAGACTCTGGAATGTGTGCTGTGACTCTGGCCTTCAGGCACGATGACCTTGCCTTGACCACTATCCTGAATTGTCCAGTTTGTGAAGCACTGGCTTTGATGGCTTGGACAGTTGTGCAGAGGTGAACCAAGACCATTCATCCAGTGGCCCCTGAAGTGGCATGTAGGCTGGACAGAGAAGGCTGGGAGGTGCTGCTGCGTAAGGAGGGCTCTGGGACATTGTTCCCAGAGTTGGTGGGATCTGGGCTTAGATCCTGTCCAGCCTGCCTAGTTGGCTGGCCCTGGCCTCACCTGCTCAGCCAGCTGGGCCCGGCAGTCCAACAGGTCATCCTGAAGGCGGGCAATGTCCTGCGTGTGCTGGGCCAGAGTGCGATTCAGCTGGTCTACGTGGCCCCACAGGCCTTCCCTGGACCTCAGCAGCTCTGCAGGCAAGCTGTCCAGGCTGGCGGCCAGCAGGCCCAGCCTCCCACATGCACCCTCCACTTGTGCCACCCGCTGGTCAAAGTGACCCACTGCATGCTGGAGTTCCTGGGCTGTGTCCTGGCAGCGGCTGAGGCTCCCTGCCACCGTGGCCACACCRGCCTTGAGTTGCTCCAACTCTCCTCGCAGGTTCAGGACCTGCCTGTGGCCAGCCTGAAGCCTTGAGCCATGGCTGCTGACCTGCTCCTGGATGGCATGGACTTCAGCTTCCACCTTGCGTTCCCGTTCATCCAGGGACGTGTTGGCAGCCAGGAAAGCGTCAGAGTACTGGCTGACCGAGTCACTGAGGCCTGTGAGSGATTTGCTCACTGAGTTCAGGTTGACCTTCAGCAGAGTGATCTCACCTTGGAGTGAGCTGCTGGTCCCTTCTGCCAGCTGTCCCTGGACTTCGGCCACAGTACCATTGAGCTGTTGGAGCAAAGCTGTGTGGCTGGCCACCTGGCGTAGGAGGGCCTCACTCCGGCTCTGCCAGGCCTTCACCTCTGCCATGAGGTYGTCCAGAGTGGCTGAGGTGGTACTGGGGGTGCATGAGGTCTCCAGTGAGACCAGCCGTTGTTCCAGCACCGCCAGCTCTGTCTGCACGAGGGGCCGCGGGGCGTTGTCATGGCTTAGCTCTCCAGTCAGTGTGGCCAGGCGCTCCTCTAGGCTCTGTACCCGCTCTTCCAGCATAGACCCAAAGCCACTCACACCCCAGCCTCCAGTCTCCATCCTCAGACAGCAGCCCTTCACTCCATTCTCTGTCCCATTGAGGGCCTCCAGGCCCTCAAGCAGCCCATCCACACCTCCCTCAAGCATGGCAGCAGACAGGTGTGCAAGCTCATCCCCGGCAGGGGTGCCAGGACCCCGTTGGGCTTTGGTGACTGCCTGCAGGTTACTCTCGAGGCTGTCCACACGGGCACTGATCAAGGCCAGCTGGCTGCAGCAGCTGCCCATGCCAGCTACACTCAGGCCCTGCAGCCTAGTGCCCAGTTGTGAGAGCTCCCGGCGAAGGGCCAGCTCCCGGCCATCAAGGCTTTGGTGCAGCCGCTGGCTGGCCGCCTGGCCCTCCTCACACTGCCGCCGCACCTCCTGCACACGCAGGTCACACTCACTCTGGACGCCTTGCAGCTTCTGCTCGAAGCCATCCAACAGGCTACCCCAGAGTCGCTGTAGCCGTTGGTCCACATATTCTTCCAGCAGAGCCAGGGAGGTCAGTGGGGTTGGAGGGGCTTCCCGCAGCCGCTGCAGGTGGGCCTCATGGCCGAGGGCCAGCACGTGCACTTCATCCAGCAGTTGCACCTTGGTCTGCAGTGTGTTGCTCACTTCTGTCACCTTGCTCAGGATCTCGCCCAGGGGAGGTGTGAGTGATCCTCCAGGTCTGTCTCCTGAGTCCACAAGACCCTCGGGGATGACACCAAAGCCCACAGGGGCAGCAGGAGCTCTGGGGCCACCACTCATCCTGTTAGGGTCCTCGTGGCTGGCCACCAGGCCACTGAGAGTCCCATATGCTTGTGCCAGGCGCTGGACATCACCCTCCAGGCGTTCCAGCCTCTCACCAAACAGCCCTGGGCCTTTTCTTCCTGGGATAGAGGAGGAGAGACCCCAGGAGAAGAATCACTGACTGACCCAGTCACCCAAGATACTTTCTTTTTTTTTAGGTACCTAGGATTGATCTCAGGGGCACTTGACCACTGAGCCACATCCTCAGCCCTATTTTGTATTTTATTTAGAGACAGGGTCTCACTGAGTTGCTTAGCACCTCACTTTTGCTGAGGCTGGCTTTGAACTCATGATCCTCCTGCCTCAGCCTCCTGAGCCGCTGGAATTACAGGTGTGCACCACTGTGCCCAGYCCAAGAAGGTTTCTGATCTAAAGTCTACCTTCTGGCCGGGCATGGCTCCCTCAGCTTTGAGGCTGGGCTCAGGGGTGGGGCCTGAGGTCTCAATTTCGTGCCTCATATGAGATGTACCCCTCTCTGGGCCTGCCAGAGCTCAGCAAGCCTGGACCAGACCCTTCCCTGCCCTTCCACCGAGCCCAATAAACCTGATCACCTTGGAAGATGTCCAGAGGCAGACTCACCATTAGGGCTTGGGGCTGCTCTGCTGTAAGAAGGAGGCCTGGGGCCTGGGCCCAGTTTCCCTGAGGGAATCTGGGGTTCTGAATCCAGATGTGGTGAGTGAGCCCCATGGTCCGTGAGATGCTCAGGGCAGCCTTCTCCAGTGAGGCCAGGACAGCAGCGCCAGGCAAGGTCTGTCACTGTCTTGTAGCCAACCTTGTATTTGGGTCTGATCACTGTGCGATACCTGGGCCAGGAAGGGGAGAGGGTCCTGCACCTGTGAGCTGAGAATCCTGCCCCTAGTTGATATTTAGGGCCATCCGTGGACACTTGCATAAAGTTTGKATTTCTCCCCACCTCCACGCCACCCCTTGGGTTTTCCTTTTTTGGTGTTTAAGGTAACAGGCTGGAGTGGTGGGGCAGCTCTGAGTTCAGTGAGTGGAGAATGCAAGTAGAAGCCTTTACTTCTTCTGATTGCTTGGGAAGAAGGCTAGCAAGGACGTAGCCCCAACCTTCCCAAGACCACTTGGACCTTCTTTAGCTCATGCTGCCACAAGAAATCCCACTCGGGCTTTGGTAGTATCTCAGAGAACTCTGATGAAGTCTCAGCTCTCCCTGGAGGTGTGTGCCCTGGATTTGGGGCCAGCAGCCCCTCTCACTGCCCTGAGGCCATGCCTGGCTCCCACCAGCTCTTGGTAGTCTTTCCGTTCCTCTCCAGCCTACTCCAGGAACTCATCTCTGGTCAGAAGCTGGTAGTAGGGCACTCTGGTTTTGAGCAAGGAGGGGAAGGCTGCAGGATGGGGGCAGGTCTCATCAGGGACCCCCTCCTGTTCAGCCATGTACCTGTTCACCCACTGACACACTGGAGCACAGGTGTGTTTCCAGATGCACACTTGAACTCCAAGAGGAGAACTGGGCATCACATCTGCAGCATCATGGGCCCTTCCATGAAGCGTTTCTGGCCTAAGCCTGGGCATGATGCTTATCTCTGGCCTACCTTCTCATGGTTGCCAGTCTTCCATGGCTTGGCCCAGGCCCCCTGTGGCTGAGTGACCTGCTATTCTCTTCCTCCCCCACCCTCTGCCTCCATCATTTCCTTCTGGCCTAGTGCTGCTTCTCTCCTAGGCACCTTTCTCTTGTTCCCCTATGGTTTCAGGGCTATAAYCTGCTCCGGTCTCCCTAAGTGATGTCCTGCCACAGGTTCAAAACCTTTGGGTCCTCCCTGGCCTCTCCTCTGGGACCCGACCACTGTGGCCTAGGTGGGAACAGGTGGGCTCTTTGGAGTCTAAAGCCTGCAGCCCCTGATGGAGACAGCTCTGCTCTCAGCTGAAGGCAGAACCTGGGCTTGTGCCCAGAGCTCTAGAGAGAGTGAGCCTGGGGTGAACTCACGTGACTGTCCCAGGGCACTTGGGGCCCCATCCACACTGCCGGTACTCGGCCTTTATGTAGCTCTCCACTCCTTCCTGTAGGACGCAGGTCACGTTCCTACGCACCACGTATGCACAGAGGGCCCTACGGGGAAAACGCCATCCCTGGAATATCTGACCAGAGCCAGGCCCACTGAGGACCTACCCTCTTACCTCTACCTTTCCGTCTCAGGAGGAGACCAGAACCCCCACGTGTGTTGTCTATCCTCCTTGCCCCTTGCCTGGGATCCAGGATATTCTGGGTTGGGCCCAGTCCCACTGTTCTCTCTGGTCTCTGTGTCCTGGGTGGCTGGCCACTGGCTAAGCACTATACAGAACTTGGTATGGTGYCCCCCTGACCCCGGGACAGACCCAGCCCAGATTCTTCAAGTGCCTTGCCACATCTCCCACCCTCCAACTCCTTCAAACTGTTTATCTTGGCCTCAGAGCTTGGAGATCCCGACTTTGTGGCTCCTTTGAGACCAGGCTTCTCCTTCCTCCCCTGGCATAGCTCTCCAGCCCCTGCCTTTGCTCATTTCCTCGCTGGGACCAGGTCTTGTGCCATCTCCTCCAGGAAGCCTGCTCTGATGTGCTCAGGCCCACTGAGTGTTGGCTCTGGGCCTGGGCAGTCTTCTCCTCCAAGACCTCTCAGATTTAACTAGCGTTCAAATTCAGGCATGAGCTGACCACTGTGGACCGCCCCTCTCTCTCAGAACACGCACTCAGTAACCCCTATCTCCTCTGTGGCCCAGTTACGTCGGGGCTCCCAAGGGCCTGCTGGGGGCTGACCACAGGAGAGGGAGCAGCTCCTAGAGACGCAGGGCTCCATCCATCTCCTACCTGGCTGGGAGGGGAGAGATGGGAGGCCTCGTCGCGAGGGAAAAACCCCCGCGCTCCTGGCACCGACTGCCCTTCCGCAGCTCCCTCCACCTGGTCCGCTTCGCCCAGGAGTTTGCACACAGCGCAGCTGGAAAATGTTATTTCTCTGGAAAGGTTTCCGCGGGCACTGCCAGGATCCCAGCGCCTCGCCGGGCCCYTTCGGCTTATTTTCCTTCGCCAGCCCGGCAGCCTCCTGGAGCGTGGGGGCGCCCGCCCTGCAAGGCTTCGACCCGGGGCGCCGCCCCCTTCTTGCCGCTGCCTCGGGTGCCGGGGGCCTCGACGCCCCCAAGCGGGTCGAGGCAGGTGGGAGCCGAGGCGCGCTGCGCGGGCCCATCCCTCCCGGTTCCCGCCGCCGCACGCCCGCGCTTACTTGTGCGGCCCCGGGCGCAGCCGCGGGCGCCATCCCGTCGTGTAGAGGCTGTAGCGGGGGGCACCGGGCGGCGCGGGCCGTGCGAGGAGCGGGGTGCCCTTGGCCTGCGTCCCCGAGAGCAGCGCTGCGACAGCGCACAGCCAGACCGGCAGGCGACGGCGGGCCATCGCGGCCCCGTGTCTCCACCTGGCCTCGCGCGCTGCCCGCTGCGGGTGTGTGTCCACCCGCCGCGCCGCTCCGCGCCACCTCCTCCTCTGGCCCGCCCGGTCCCTCCGCCACTCGCGGCCCCCGAGCTAGCTCACTTGGCCGCCTGGCGCCTGGCGCCTCGCGGCGGCTGCGTCCCTCCGAGTGGCCGGCGCTGCTCKTGGCTGGGGCCGCGGAGGGGAGGCGGGAGGCGGGCTCTGCGCGGATTAGCATAAACTTGGGGCCGCGCCGCTGGGCTCCGCCAGCCCCCTCCTCCGCCGCCGGCCCCCCGCCCCAGTTCCGAGCTGACGCCCGAGGGGCCGCTGCAAGAGGTTCAAAAGGGAACAGCTCCCGGGTGGCGGGGCGCAGGCCGCSGCGCCCTGGGAGACCCCTCTAAACACGCCCAGCTACTACCGTCGCTCCGGGCACGCGGTGAGAAGCAGAGAAGCCGACCCTCTGAGGCTGGTCCGGGCGCGGGGCTCTCAAGGAGCCGCCCATCTGCAGGATACGCTGATCTTAAAAGTCCACATGCACCSGGACCGCGGTCCGGGATCTGGAGCCAAGATGATGGTGTTTGGGGCGCACCGACACCGCCTCCCCAGCCACTTTTGTGGAATAGGCCCAAGACTGTCTCTGTTGGCTAGCTTTGCCTCCAAACTCATCAATGTCTGGGAGATCCGTAACTCTATGGACTCCTGTCCCCACCAACCTGTGCAACCCAGTTTGGTAGCCAGTTTGCCTCTCGGGTTCTCTGATAGGGTCAGTGTTATCTCTTGTCTCTCTGAGCCCCAAACGCCTGTCCCCTCTCTAGATCAGACTAGAATGCTGTGCTTCTTTGTGAACTCAGGCTCTGGGTTGTTATTAGCATCTGGTCAAAGAAAACCTTTGGGTCTTTATCACAAGGTAGGCTGGGTTAAGCCGGGCTTCCTCCGTATTTTGCTTGAAATGGATTCTTGGAACCCACGCATTTTGGCCTTTACAGTCGTCTTCATTCACATCATCATCTTGTTGACTATTTAACTTGCAAAGATTCTTTTGAATCATGATTCTGTCACCCAACAGAGTGGCACTTTTTTCTGGCTTCATCTTATCCATTCAGGGGACTACAGCCACCTGTGTCTTCCACCCAGTGGCTGGTAGGTGGGATGAAGGCATGGACTCCAGGGCCCGCCTGGAGAGACCTGTTTCTAAACTGAGTTTGAGATGCGATTGAGTAAGGGATGGTGTCAAGAATGCTGAAAGTGGCCACTCTGAAACCCACATCTCTGCCCCTGCCCTCTTCCAGCCACCAGGGCTTGTGGGTCCCATGGGGCCTGACCTAAGCTGACCTGATTATCCTTTTTTCTGGACCTTGGAATTGAAAAACAGAGGCTGAAGGGCATCCAGCTTCAGGGAGTGGCCAACTAGTTCCCTAGGGCTGCTAACAAATAACCACTAATCCAGTGCCTTAAGATAACAGAAATTTTGCCAGGCACCATGATACATGCCAGCCATCCCAGAAACAAGGGAGGCTGAGGCAGGAGGATCACAAGTTCAAGGTCAGCTTTATCATGTATGGGAGGCCCTAAGCAATTTAGTTTCTAAAAAAAAAAAAAAAAAAATAGAAAGGGCTGGGATATAGCTCACTGGTAAAATGCCCCTGGGTTCAATCCCCAGTACAAAAAAATATATAAGTTTTCTTCAATTCCGAAGGCTCAAAGTCCAGAATCAAGGTATACTTTCTCTGAAGGGTCTAGAGAAGAATTTTCTTGTTTGTTTGTTTTGTACCAGGGTGCTTAACCACTGGGCAACATTCCCAGCCCTTCTTAAAAATTATTTATTTTGAGACAGTCTTGCTAAGTTGCTTAGGGCCTCATTAAGTTGCTAAGACTGGTSTCAAACTTGAGATYCTCCTGCCTCAGCCTCCTGAGTTGTTGGGATTACAGGTGTACATCACTGTTCCCAGTGCGGAGAAGAGTCCTTTCTTGCCTCTTCCAACTTCAGGTGGCTCCTGGCAATCCTTGGCATTGTTTGGTTTATACTGTATCATTCCAATCTCTGCTTTCATTTTCAYATGGCTTTCTCTCTTGTGTCTTCAAGTGCCTTTTTCTCTTTAAGTCCCCTCCTTTTAGACAACAGTCACTGAATTTAGGGCCCAACATAACCTGGTGCACAGAGTCCCATGTGCTTAGGAAACATCATCTTAAGTAATTATATCTGCAGAAGCCCTATTTCCAAACATGGTTACATTCTGGGGTTCCAGTGGACATGCATTTTAGGTGGAGGGGCTCTATTCAACCTACTACAGGAGCCTTTGTGGGATGGTAAAAGGATGCATCATGCATGCTGTAGCCATAGCTCTACAAAGTTATGGGGAACAGGAAGAGGGCTGGCAGGGGAGAGTGGGGCAAAGCCAGGGGTTGTGGTACTCATGGAGAAATATGGGGAATAGCTATTTGGTAATTAGCCATCGTTTCCCCTGTCTACTTCCAATAACCACCATTTGAACTAACTTAAATGAGTTAGGCAACTAAATGATGTCTAAGATAGCCTTGCATCCTCCCCACAGATGCCCCAAACATTCTATTCTCTAACTTTTAACAGAAATGTTCTAAACCATTTTCCTGGGGGCAAATACATAGCATCCATAACATGTCCTTGATCTTGGAACCACTGACTTCCCACTTTCCAGAAAGTGAGAGACATCTAAGGGGCTAAGATCAGAGCTCAGCTCCTCACCAGAGGTTGGGCTTTGACTGCTTGGCAGCACCGCCCAGCTGGCTCTGGGAGAAGACTCCCCCACCCCAAGAGCTATGATCTTTTTCCAAGGGGTCCCACCCCTTCCTTTCACTCCCTTCCCCAGCCCCAGATGTGGGACCCACAACTCACAGGAAAGAGGCTGGACCTTGTTTGAACTTGGAAATGTCCATGTAATAGGGGGCTGGAAAGACAGCTGGACCCCACATCCCCATTTCCCAGGTGGCTGACATCAAAAACCATGCTCTCTCTTTAATTGAACCCATTTGGGGAGCCAGGGCCTGGGTCCCATCATGATTGAGGCGGAGGATGTCAGCACAGGGAGATGCTCAGGGTCTTGGCTGGATGCAGCCAGAGGCTGGGGTCTCCCTACAGATGAGGAGATCATTTGSGTCTGCCAGACAGAAAACCTAGGGAGGCCAGAGGTAGGGGAGGGAGGCACACAGTCATGTCTTCCTGATTCAGACGGGAGCTTCTCCACCGGGATGGAGACAGGCTAAGGGGCCATACACAGGAGCATGTTTTCCGTTCACACAAATGCACAAATACATCCAGACACACTTGGCCCAATCCCAACTCCACTGTCACTCATGCACATACACATACGCCCTACCTTCACAGCCCCTRGCAGCAGATGCACCACTCCCTCCTCAGGAAGACTGGAGGATGCCCTTGGATGACAAGAATAAAGTCTTGCATTTAGAGTCCATCACTGACCCAGAGAGAGGACGAGTAAGAACCTCTGCTGGGTACTAGAGCTTCCCTCTTTCCTCTGTGGACCTCCTGGGGCTGCAGGAAAGAATTGGCTCCTAGATGCAGAGAAGATTCAAGAATGAATCCCAGGAAGGGGCAAATAAATAAATGAATGAACATGGGGCCCTGGTGTGCAGGGTCCTCTGTGCTTGGGATATACCTTCTCTGCCTCCAGGCCCAACTCTTTCCAAGCTCCTTCCACTTCACCCCAAGCGTCTCTCTCTTTTTTTTCGTTTCTTTCTTTCCTTCCTTCCTTCTTTCCTCTCCTTTCCCTTCCCTTCCCATTTCCTTCCTTCTTTTTTTCTCTTTGTAGAACTAGGGATGAACCCAGGGCCTTGAGAATGTAGGCAAGCATTCTACCACTAAGCTACATCCTCAGCCCTTTTCCAGCTCTCTCCTTTTCTAATCAAGGCTCATCACACAAGCTCATTGAAAACCACACAAAGTTTTGTGGAATGTAGTTTTGCTAAAAGGACAGAAATAGAAAGCTCAGCATCTGCCAACTTTCTGGAAGAAGCTCTTCCTGCTGCAGATGAGCCCTGGCTCAGAGCAGCACAGTGCCTTTCTCCCCCAGCCAGTTGGTGGTAGCACCTGCCCTAAGGTACAATCTCTGAACTCCTCCCAGCCCTCTGTCCCTTCTTCCCACTGGCCCTCGCCAGTATCCTTTTACTGAGAATGCACAGCTGTGTCCCCTGTGTATGGGGCCACCTTTGGAGGTTCCAGGTAGCCAGGCTCTTTGTTTAGCCCCACTCTCTCCTGTCCATCAGCATGAGCATGCTCAAAACCCAGTCATCATTTCAGTGTCCCCTGCATTATCAAAAAAGGTGAATGTCAAACCCACATGAGTTTYTGGGGATGTTTACAGTGACCTCTTCCAATTGGGCAAAGGCATGGTTTATCCATGGCCTGGAGTAGGTAGATAAATGTATAGCAGGAGGTGAGGGCTGAGAGGATGCCGAAATTGCGGAAACTGGACTCCGTAAAGCGCAGATGGGCTTCCATTGAGTGAGAGTGACTTAGAAGCAACTTAAAAATTGTGCGGTGCTGATGGCTTCTCAATGCAGACACATGCAAACCAGATGCAACCATTATGCAAATYATATGCAAAATACATGTGTGGGCCTCCTGACTATTACAAATGCCAGATGTGATCCTTGGGGACTCTGAATTTAGTTAAGCCCTCTAGTGGAACAGAGAGATGATCCTAGCTTACCAGCCTCTTATGGTGGGCAGGAGAGACTGAGCTCCCAGATCATCTACACATTGCAGGAAAGAACCAAGCAAGAAGTTGATCAGACTGGGATTTGAATCCAAGCTCTTCCATTCACTAGTTGCATKACCTTCCTGGAGTCCTGTCACTCCTCTGAGCCTCAGTTTTTCCATCTATAAAATGGTATTATGAGGAAGAGATGAGAACTTGGGGTGAAACTCCTATGTGCATGGTAGGGCACAGAACAGGCACTCAGTAAGAGGGACAGGGCTCACAGGTCCCATG